AATAAAATGTTTAAAAAAAAAATTTCAAAAGTAGAACACTGTTAAAATCTAAGCACTCTATTGTTAAATTATAAAAGAAATACCAAAGAGGGTTAAATAGTCTGTAATCTTGGGATCTTGGGTTGATGACATTTTGTTGGTAAATGAAAGAGGAGAGTTTGGGACATAAGCTTAGGATATCAGTAGGACTGGTTTTTTTTTTTAGATTGTGGACTTGCAGATTACAAATCATTTGTAATGTTCATGAGTTCTCGTGCCCTCATTCTATGGAGGTCAATCACAGTAGGCCAGTTGTAGACAGCTGTGCAGGTTGCACACTGCACAAGTCTGAGAGGTGCCCCATTGCCCGGTAGTCTCTGTGAAGCGTACCCCTGAGGCTGTCCGGTGCACCAGCCCAGGTGGGGCCCTGCATCTGGCTCCCATGTCTTGTGAGATTCTGTTTGTGGAAGTAAATATGACAAGCAGACTGTCACACCTCATGTTCCCACCCCACCAGCTTCCACACACCAGTGGAGTAACTTTCCGAATCGGAGGAGCTCTGATTCTGTCTGGCTCTAAGCTGAACTGCCAGCACTGCTTCCCCCTCCTCGTTCCCCGGCTTCCTGCTCTCCTCAGAGAAGCCTGGGGGAGGGCGGCACAGAGCCGCTGGGCAGCAGGGAGCTGCACAGGGGAGACCACCGCCCCCAGGTGCATGAGCAGGTGTTTTCCCTGGAGGGGACTGCAGTTGAGGGTACAGCCCTCCAGCTCCCCACATGGGGCGCTGCCTCATGCCCGTCTCACAGGGAGAGGCTCGGACAGGAGCTAGTGGACACCTGAGACGCTTTGAGTCAGAACGAAGTGCTGGTCTTTCTACGGTAAAATGTACAACAAAAAGCTTGGTTTTTAACTTTGTGGATATTGTTTGAGGTGTGGAAAGATGGAGAGTGCCCTGTACTGTGAGTTTTGGCCTACGTGGGAGGGAGGCCGTGCGGTCGGTTCACACTCTGGCTGGCATTCTCGGCATTCTGCCGCTGATCCTCTTCCCTCGTGCCTGGAGGCCCTGCCTCTGAGAGGTTGCCGCTGCCTCCCAGCCTCCGCCTCCTGGGCCCTGGGATCCAGGCGGCTGCCCACCCTGGTCATGGCCTTGGCCACGTCACGCCTGTATGGGCAGCCCCTCCCCGCCTCCAGCCAGCCCCGGCCCCTTCAGCGGAGACTTCCTCTTGGTGGGTGGCACTGTCCCAGCGCCGTGTCTGCCTCTGCAGGGTCCTCCCCCCCGACATCTCAGAGTGCCGCGCTGCCTTCCTCGAGTGCCTGGCCGCTCAGTGCCTCTGGCTACGCTCGCTCCTTCAGCAGCATCGCGCCCGCGCCCAGCATTGCAGGTACGCACTGGCTTCTCCTGACGTCCACCCGCTCACCCCGCAGGCGGGGGGGTGGGGGCCGGTGGTGTGACGGAGAGGGGGCCTGGGCACCTCGCCCCCCTGCCGAGTGCCGCGGGAATGGGAACATGGCCTCTGCGGGGCTGTCGCGAAGGGCGCGTGGCTGTAGGATGGGGCGCACCTGCTGCCCACACGGACCTGCTCCCTTCCCCTCCCCCGTGGCTACGGCGTGAGGGGGCGTGAGGGGGACACGGGCCTTCAGACCGTGCAGGCGGCCCCTGCTGGGAAGTCGATGGGGGAGACAAGAGTAGGTCCCAGAAAGTGTGGCTGCTTCCCGCCTGGGTTATTTCTCTGTTACGCTAGACTGTTAGAAGTTTTTGAAGTGAGACATTTCGTTTAGGCTTAGAGAAGAATTGAGAATTGTGTGTCATAAAAACTTCAGGGGAATCTGAACGTGAAAATTTTAAGACTTTAAGGGATATAAAGAGATGCAGGCCCAGACACTAACAAGACATGTGTCAGGTTTGTAAGTAGACAGAAATCTTAAAGAAGGAATGTTTATTGTTTAAAGACTTCTTCAAGTATATTTCTGTATTCCTTCAAACCTTGTCATCCAGACCTTCTGGTGTAAAGATGCCGTAGGAATTCCTTTAATACCAGTACTTAGGGAAGAAAGTCGTTTTGATATATTTTAGCATCCTTTTTTTTCCCCCACTCTGTAGTCAATTTATTATTTTATTTTATTTTAACCCCAGTGTTGTTAACATGCAGTTTCAGGTATAAATATAGTGATTCAACATATAGTTTAGCATCTTATTGAAAACAGAGCATCTGGATTATTTCACTCCTTCTAATGTTTATTCTTCCTGATGTTTACAGAGGAGATGTATGTAGACCTTTACTACCTTCATGGTCATTTAGCTAAAGAGAAGGGGCAGAATCAAATCATTTTCCCTGTATCTCCGGCAGTTTTTATAGCATTTTTGCTTTTCCGATCAATGACACCTTTGCTAAGATTAGCGTTTGTTTGTTTGTTTGTTTGAAGTCTTGGTGGCTAGGGGTGGAGAGGAGCTCCGCACAGGATCTGGTCGCTGTGTGCTACCCAGGGACACCGCGACAGCCACCACTTTGCCTCCAGCACTTCCTGTCCTGGTCGTGCTGGACTGGTGAGGCAGGCCTGGCAGATGTCCAGGTGTGTGCACCTCCCAACCGAGCCCTGGGCATATGAGAAGCTGGGGTTCGGAGTTGTTAGCAGTTTGGTTTTCTTCTCCCAGAGAGCCTTCAAACACTCCCCACAATGGAGGAACTGAGATGCCGAACGCTCAGCCCCCGGCAGCTGGGCCACGCGCGTCCGTCTCTGTCATGCGGCCTGGCGGGCTCATCTCAAAGCTGCGGGTTGTCGGGGGGTGCTTCCTTGAAAAGGGACTGATAGCTAAAGAAATAGTGGAAAGGATCTACACATGTTAGGCTTTTGACCTCGGTTAATGTGTTCCATTATAAGCTTGTCCCAATAGAACGTGTGGATAGTTAGTTTTAACCTCGAACTACGGAAATGCTGTTTTCTTGGTGGCAGACTTGGGTCTGGCACAGTCAGCGAATTCAGCATCAGAAGTCCCGGTGAGGCCTCCACTGGGCACTGGGCACAGGCAGGTGGTCTCTGGGCAGGAATTCGAGAGAGCACTTACCCTTGTGTGGGGGTGCTTTACTTGGTGTTTCCTTCTTATCCCACAGTCTGCTGGTGCCGGAAGCACTTTGTACGCTTCGCCAAACACTGCAGTGACTTTTCTTCTCTGTCTCAAGAATGCCTGTGCTCTGTCTCCCTGCCTTCTAGGTAAACTGTCAGACATTAAATCGACGTGGTCCTCTGGCCCTGCCTCCCACACGCAAGCCTCTCTGTCTCACGAACTGTGGAAGGTGCCCAGAAACACTACTGCACCCACAAGACCACCTCCAGGGTTAACCAATCCCAAGCCTTCCTCCACCTGGGGAGCCAGCCCCCTCGGCTGGACCAGCTCTTACTCCTCGGGTACGCATCCGCCCTCTTGGTGTGCAAGTGGGGCAGGTTGGGGATTGCGGGGGCTCGGGGCCTGCTCTGCTTGCCCTTTAGGGAATGAAAATGCCTGTCATCTTGTCCTCTAGCTCTTCTGTAAGAACTGCTCCCCCCACCCCTAGAACCCAGGAGAGCCTAGGAGGGGTCAAGGGGCCCTGGACTCTGGGCAGTGTGTGGGCCCAGCGCTCCAGCTGCCATGGTTTCCGGCCTCTGCCCTGAGGCAGGCGGTCCCGGCCCTCACGGCACCCTTCGAGGGGCCACGCTGGGCCCTTCAAGAAGGCGCTTTCAGCCTTTGATATTTGCTTCTCCACAACATTTCACTGGAGCAAAGGGCTTTCTGGGCCAGAACCCAAACCAAGCCCCCCGTGTGAATTGGGGCCCGCATCCTGGCACCGCAGCTCTGCTGGCCGCTGCCGGGGCCCCCGCCGAGCTGCAGCCGTGGAAGACATGCGCCGGGAGTTTAAGAAGCTGAGACTGGAACCAGCTACAGATCGTTTGAAAACTGCTCTGGGCCCGTCATGGCAGCCCCGTGGGTCTGCTGTGTTAGCACGTAGCATCTTAGAGCATCGATTCTCAGGGGCGTGGGGGCAGAGGAGAAGGGAGCTTCTGCCGTCCTCCGCCCAGGGGCGTCTGCAGGAATTGTGGGGCTGGGTTCATCAAACCAAAAAGAGAACGTGGGTTTTCAAAGGTTGAGAAAGCTTAGAGCATGCAGTGGCGCTCCATGCTGCCACGTGCGTGGGCAGGAAGCCTCCGGGGGTCGTGCTGACGGGGCTCTCCCCCGGCTCGCGCAGGTTCCGCGTGGAGCACCGACACCTCAGGACGGACAAGCAGCTGGCTCGTTCTCCGCAACCTCACGCCCCAGGTACGGGCGCCCGCCGTGGGGGTCACCGAGTGGGCGGGGGGGCACTGTCCTTGACCGAGAGCAGTTCCTGCCACCCCCAATGCATGCCGGCCTCTGCTGGGGGCCTTCGCTCAGGGGCCCAAAGACGGCGGGGGCAGCCACAGGCAGACACGTCCATGTTCCTGGGGAATTGTTCATTTTTTACTCTTTTTGAGGCTTTTAAACAGAGTTGCTTGCCTTTAAATTATACCCACTCAAGAGTCATTGTCCTGTGCTCCCCTTTCCCGGGGTCGGGGCTATAGGGCTGCCAGGAACCATGGGCCCCTGCTGGGTGGGCGGGAGGCCACAACCAAAATGGGGTATTTTCTTTCTCCTGATTGACGGAATTCACGAAATATAACTGAAACAGCCAGGATTAAAAAGTACATGGTCAGGGCACCTGGGTGGCTCAGTCATTAGCGTCTGCCTTCGGCTCGGGTCATGATCCCAGGGTCCTGGGATCGCAGGCTCCCTGCTCAGCGGGGAGTCTGCTTCTTCCTCTCCCACTCCCCCTGCTTGTGTTCCCTCTCTCGCTGTGTCTCTCTCTGTCAAATAAATAAAATCTTTAAAAAAAAAAAAAAAGTACATGGTAAATGACAAGGCATAAAAGATTAAAATCATAAAGTCATACATGCTAAGCCCTTTTTAAAGACAGACCTTTTCCCAGTGGTTAGTACGCCCGGGTCATAGACATTTTCTTTGAAGAATGTCGTGGAAGAAGTCCCAGGAAGCTCGTTACCGCCCCCTTTCCTTCCTCCATCAGATCGACGGCTCTACCCTGCGGACGCTGTGTTTGCAGCATGGGCCTCTCGTCACATTCCACCTGAACCTGACTCAAGGCAACGCCGTGGTCCGCTACAGCTCCAAGGAGGAAGCTGCCAAGGCCCAGAAGTCCCTGCACATGTACGTCTCCTGGCTGCCGCTGGGCTGCCCCCCGGGCTGTAGCCCTGGCAGCGCTGGGCTCAGGGTGCTGTGGGAGCTCCAAGGTGTCGGCGGGGTCGGTTCCTTCCAGGGCTCCTGTCCGTAGCCTGCAGGCGCTGCTCTCTCCCTGTGTCCTCACGTGGTCGCCTCTCAGTCTGAGTGTGCGTGTGTCCTAACTTCCCCTTCTCAGAAGGACACAGGCCAAAGTGGATTAGGGTTCATTAATGACCTCATTTTACTTTCATGACCTCTTTAAAGACCTGTCTCCAAAAACGGGCACAGCCGGGGTGCTGGGGGGGCTGGAGCTTCCATGTGGGGATTTGGAGGGGCACGATTCAAGCCGTAGCAGGTGTCTCGTGACACGTCTGTTTCTTCTGCTCTGGAATTGCCGTGGCCATGCCCCCCACTAGGGACAGACCCCCTAAGAGCATGCACGTAAAGCACAGCCGAAAGGAAGATGCTCTCTCCACCAGGTAGCACCAGGCACGTGACCCGTCTTCCAGCCACCTCCCCCCACTGGTTACAGGTCGTTCTTGCTAAGATGTGTCCGTGGATGTACTCAGCAATGGCACTGGACCAGTGGGATTGCTGAATCCCACGGTGGTTCTATTTTTAATTCTCTCAGGACCCTCCAGAGTGGCTGAACTAACTCCCATTCCCATCAGCAGTGAACAAGGGTTCTCTTCTCTACATCCTCCCAACACTTGTTATATTTTGTCCTTTTGATTCTAGCCATTCTAACGGGTGAGGTGAGATCTCATTGGGTTTTGATTTGTATTTCCCTGATGATGAGTGATGTTGAGCATCTTTCATATACCTGTTGGCTATCTGTATGTCTTCTTTGGAAAAATGTCTGTTTAGTTCCTCTCCTCATCTTTTAATCAGGTTGTTTAGGCCTTTTTTGTTGTTGTTATTGAGTTACGTGATTCTCTATATATTCTGAATATTAACCCCTTACGAAATAAATGCTTTGTGAATATTTTTCTCCATTCCATAGTTTGGTTGTCTTTCATTGTATTGACAGTTTCCTTTGCTGTGCAGAAGATTTTTAGTTTGATGTAGTTCTACTTATTGATTTTTTTTCTTTTATTGCTTGTGCTTTTTATTTTAAGTTTTCTTTATGTAAGTAATCTCTACACACAACGCAGGATTCCACCTCACAACCCCGAGATCGAGAGTTGCACGCTCTTCTAACTGAGCCAGACAGGCGGCCATGTGCTTTTGGTGTCCCATCAAAAAATCATTGCCAAGACCAATGTCAAGGAACTTTTTCCCTGTTTTCTTTCAGGAGTTTTATGGTTCCAGATCTTATGTTTAAGTCTTTAATCCATTTCAAGTTAACTTTTGTGAGTGGTGGGAGACAGGCATCCACATGTTACTGTTCTGCACCTGTTCCTCCAGCTTTTCCAGCACGTTTGTTAAAGAGACTGTCCTTTCCCCATTGAGTGCTCTTGGTGCCCTTGTCAAATATAAATCAATTGTCTAGATGGGGATCTATTTCTGGGCTCTCTGTTCTGTTCCACTGCTCTGTGTGTCTGGGTTTTTTTGCCAGAACTATACTGTTTTGAATACTACGGCTTTGTAGTATAGTTTGGAATCAGCAAGTGTGATGCCTCCAGCTTTGTTCTTTATCAGAATTGCTAGGGCTCTTTGGAGTCTTTTGTGGTTCCATGTAAATTTCTGTGAAGAATGCCACTGGAATTTTTATAGAGATTACATGGAACCTACAGATGGCTTGGAGTTGTCTGGATGGCCTTGCATTTGTATCTTCTTCGGTTTCTTTCATTAAAGTTGTTTAGTTTTCATTGCACAAAGTTCTCACTTGCTTGGTCAGATTTATCCCTAAGTGTTTTCTTGTTTTTTAATGCTGTCGTGAATGAGATGTTTTTCTTTTTTTCTTCTTCACATATTTCATTGTTAATACATAGAAATGCAGCTGTTTTTCATTATGTTCGTTGTATATCCTGCAACTTTACTGAACTCATTGATCACTTCCAGCAGTGTTTTTGGTTAAGTGTTTAGGATTTTCTCCATATAAGATCACGCCATTTGCAAATAGTGATCATTTTACTTCTTCTTTCCCATTTGGATGCCTTTTATTTCTTTGTCTTGCCTGATCGCTCTGGCTAAGACTTCCGGTGCTGTGTGGAATAAAGATGGCAAGAGCAGGCATCCTTGTCTTGTTCCTGACCTTAAGAGAAAACGCTTTCAACCTCTCACTGTCGAGTATGATGTTAGCTGTGTGTGTGTCATGTACAGACGGCCTCTCTGACACGGAGACATGTTCCTTCTGTCCCGTTTGTGGAGGGTCTTTATCATGAAAGGTCGTTGTGTTTTGTCAAATGCTCTTTCTGCATCTACTGAGACAAGAGGACTTGAATCTTTCACTCCCATCAATGTGATGTGTCACACTTTGTGATTTGCTTATGTTGTTCAACATCCCTGCATCTCAGGAATAAATCCCACTTCATCGTGAATGTATAATCCTTTTCATGTGCTGTTGAATTCAGTTTGCTTAATATTTTGTCGACAATGTTTACGTCTGTGTTCATCAGGGATATTGGTCTATAGTTGTGTCCTGATCTGGCTTTGGTATCAAGATAACACGGGCCTCATAAAATGAGTTCAGGAGTGTTTCCTCCTCTTCAGTGTTTTGAAGAGTTTGAGAAGGTTTGGTGTTAATTCTCTTTTAAATGTATGGTAGAATTCACCAGTGAAACCATGTGGTCCTGGGCTTTTCTGTGCTGGGAGGTTTTTGGTCACTGATTCCGTCTCCTTACTCGTTATTGGTCTGTTTGGATTTTCTGTTTCTTCATGATCCAGTCTTGGTAGGTCATCTGTGTCTAGGGATTTGTCCAGTTCTCCTAGGTTGTCCAGTTTGCAGGTACAGAGTCATTCTAGAAGTCTCTCAGGACGCTCTGTATTTCTGTGGTATAGGGTGTCATGTCTCCTCTGTCAGTTCTGATCTTGTTTATTTGAGTCTTCTGTTTTTTTCTTAGTCTAGCTGAAGCTCTGTCAAATTTTTTATCTTTCAAAAAAACCAGCTCTTAATTTTGTTGCCGTCCTGCTCTTTTAGGTGTGTTCTGGGAAACACTACCATCTTGGCCGAGTTTGCCGGCGAAGAAGAGGTGAACCGTTTCTTAGCCCAAGGCCAAGCACTGCCGCCCACCTCTGGCTGGCAGTCCGGCACCGGGACGGGCCAGACACGTTTGGGCGCCTCGGGCAGCTCCCACGGCCTGGTGCGGAGCGACACTGGCCACTGGAGCGCCCCGTGTCTGGCCGGCAAAGGGAGCAGTGACCTGCTGTGGGGCGGGGTCCCCCAGTACTCGAGCAGCCTGTGGGGCCCACCTAGCAGTGACGATGGCAGGGTGATCGGAAGCCCCACCCCACTGAACACTCTGCTTCCCGGCGACCTTCTCAGTGGGGAATCCATCTAGGACCGAGAGGACCCCGTGGGCGCCACAGTCATCAGCACTAGGAAGAAAAGGCTGACCCTTTCCAGTCCGGGCAGCGCTGAGGACCCCGCTTGACCTGAGCAGCCCGGCAGCCCTTTGAGTACCTCTGTCCAGTACTGAAGACGAACCCTGGCCGCAGTCCTTGTGAACTGTTCACGAGACAGTGCGGGCTGCGCTTGGTCAGTGTCACATGCTAATGACAGGATGTTCCTCATAGCTTTTTATTTTGTGTTGTCTTATGTTTGTATGGTGTGTTGTCGTTTTGATTTTTTAAGTATAAAAGCTGCTTAGAATAGTTCTATCATGAAGGGCACTTTTCAGATTGTGGGCTGGAAAGGGTTATTTTATCAAGGGGGGCGGGAGGGAGGGAGACGAGAAAGCCTATTTAAAACGAGCCTGTGATGATTATGCACATTACCAGAGGCGGACCCCGTAATCAGGGGGAGCTGGTGTCCATCACTGGGCGCAGAGTGTGGGCTCCACGCGGCGGGCCTGGCGGCCAGGACCGGCGAGCTGCGCAGAGGCAGCGACCTGCGGCCTGCTCTCTGCTCCCACGGGTCCGCCTATGCACATTACCCTTGTTTCATTACTTTTTCATGCCATTTTTTTATCCCAAAAAATATTTTTTAAAAGTTAAAAAAAAAAAAAAAGACATATCAAACATGCAAATACTTGAATCCAGCAGGCCAATAAGGAAATGTGAACACTTGCCGCGTCGAATTCTACACTTCCAGGCTGACATCAGTGCGCAGAAACAGGCTCTAGGAAACATTTCTGAGTTCACAGCCTATGTGTGTGTGTGTGTGTGTGTGTGTGTGTGTGTGTGTGTGTGGAAACAGAAGCGTGTGTGTGCGCGTGTGCGCACTTTCTGTGTTTGTGTGTTCCGTGTGTGAGGGATTTAACTGTGGGTTTTCCCTTTTATTCAGTATATGCTTTTTTTTTTGGCGCATTGGTCAAATGTTTGTTACTATTATTAGCTTCTAACTTTGCACTGAGTGTCCCTGCCCTTCCTTTTGCTAATCCTATACATGAAAGAGAATTCATGGGACAGGGCCGGTGACAATTCATGTGTAAATGTTTACTCAAGGACTCTGTTATTGCGTTTAAAAATTACAGTGTATATCTCTGGAGAAATAATATGTATACCTACCTTTAGCAGCTTTTTATTGTGGACTAATGCAAGAAAATATTACCAGAGTATTGCACCGTGTTTCCATGTGGAATGGAAAGTGAGAGAGAAGACAACTGTTGCAGAACTGTGGCCATAGATCCTCGCGGAGAGCGGACGGCTCCGCGGGAGGAACAGAGACAAGCACTTGGACGTGGGTGGTGACCGCTTTCGGAGGGGCCCGTGCTCAGGGCTCCCACCTGTTTACAGACCTTTTTTTCTCCTTCAGACTTTAAAATAAAAAAAAATTTTAAAAAGGAATTAAAAAAAAAAAAGAAAAAAAAAGAGACTTCCGTGGTAAAGAAACCTATTTTCAGAATGCAGATACGCTACTTCAGAGCTCTGGGATTGAACAGTGTCGTCGCTTCCCTCCAGCCATCGTTGTGGACTGTCGATTGTCCCCCTTCGTCGAGGTGACGAGACGTTGTGGTCACTGTCTTGCACATGCGGATGCGCTCTCAGGAAAGCCAGGGTTCCCGAGGGGCAGCTCCACACCATTTCATGTATTTTGTAACCCAACTCCTAGCACTGAAGATGTTATTAAAAAACAAACAAAAAAAATAAAGAAAAAAAAGAAAAAAGGAAAAAAAACACAAAAGAAGAAAAATACCTAATCTCTAATGTGTAGCAGTTACATATTTACCAAATAACGGACTCAAAAGAAATAGATGTTTGAAGAGTGCTTTATATATTAAAAATTGCTTTATGTTTTAAAAATGATCAATGTTTTGATTGTTTTGCAAGAAAGACAGACAATGGAGTAACATACCCTCAAGTATGTTTAAAAATATATGAACATTGTGCTCCCTGCCTGCTTGATCAGGAAACTTGTGCATTACATTTTTTTTAATTAGCTTTTTAATGGTTTTATCAAAACAAAACAAAAAAAAAGAACAAAAAACAAACAAAAAAAAAAACACAAAAAAAGAAGGTCCTGCAAAATTGCAGTTCAACAAAAGCTGGTTTTATAGAGGATCATGAACTATGCACAAACTGGGTTCAAGACTTGTTTTCTCAAGTTGAGTCGTGTATTTAGCTAAACAAACCTTCCTCAGAGTAATAGCATCTCATTGCCATTACATGCGTTCTATATATTTGATGTATATATGCTCACGTATGTATATCAAATATATGTGCGTGCGCGCGCGCGCACCAGACAGCTTCCCGTGCTGCCGCTTAGCATCGAGTTGTAGAAAAACTGGTATTTTAAAATTGGGGATGGAAGTAAAGACTCTGTTTGTTTTTGTTTTTTGTTGATTTTTTTTTGACCTTTTCTTTTGAATTAAAGATGTCTGTAACTCTGAGATTAAAAAACAAGTTTGTGGCTTTTAATGTTTTTTCCTCATAGAATGTGATCGTTGAAGAACATGCACCGAAAGTTGCTTTCAAAAGTACAACGCTTTGTTGAATCTTAATAAATTGCAATTTTTTTCTTGGCTGTTCAAATAAATGTGTTTTTTATTTTTCACAGACATATCATCGATTTTCACTTTGTATGTACTGGGGGAGAGAGCTGTCCTGCTGTTCGTAACGAATTCCCTGACTCTTCAAGATATCCTTAGAGTTTAGACGAACTCTGAATGTCTGTTGTTTGGCTTATTATTTTATCTTGTGGTTCCCTCTGAAACCTTACTACCGGTCACAGAGAGGCGCAGCAGAGCGTGAGCCCGCCACCGCCGCCTCGCGGCCAAGACAGAGCCAGGGCCCGCGGGCCGAGTGCCCCCGCTGAGGACCGTGGCTCCGTCACCCGTGACCTGGTTTGGGCCTCAGAAATGTTGGGTCCAAGGAGAGTAATGAAGGCCTTTTGTGTTTCCTGGGCATCTTATTCATTTATTCTTGTAAAGTAGCCTAAAATAACGGGTGAAAGGTGACTTTCACGAAGCGTTTTGCACACGCAGAGCAGAACTCAGGGCGCCGCAGGCAGTGGCTTAGCGTGGCCTCTCTGGTGGCAGCTAGAGAGCAGAGCGACACCAGGGGGGTCTCAGGCCCACTGCAGACACCATGACCTTAAATCAGTCCAGCGAGCACCAGTGCTTCTGACGGCCAGGATTGTCACGATGGTGTCTGGGAGACAGGCCAACGTGTCCTCCGTGACCCCCTGCTCAGAGACCAGCAGAAGGAGTGGCTTTCTGTCTCCACTCCCCTTCCATGTGCCTAGGGCGAGGTGGCAAACTCCTGGCTCTGCCCAACCTCTTTGGAAAGTCACGAAGGACAGCACCGAAGGGGGTCACGGTCGGGAGAAGTGAAAAGCGAGGAATAGGAGTCAAAGTGGGCAAAGCGCACCCAGCCTTCTGCCAAGCAGGTGCCTGTGTGTACTGCGAGAGAGCGCCTGCTCCCCGGGAGGACTTCCTGCAGGAGGCGGTGCGGCCCTGGGCCCGGGAGGCCGACCAGATTCTGCCAGCCTGGGGAAAGCAGGGGACGGGTGGGTGACACAAGGTAAACCGAGATCTGGAGTGACTGCTCATGAGACCGGGCTGGGGAGCAGGGATCCTGGTACCCACGGTAGCAAAGGAGGCTCGGTGTCTAGAATCAAGAAAACAATAGGTACGGAGCTGCACTTTTTACAAAACTGTTCTGACGGCACCGTGGGAGAGTGGCAAAGACAGAGGGTGCTCAGTGAGTCGTAGCAGGAGATGCAGAGAACGGACTGTCCGAACAGCGAGGAGGCCAGAAGAGGCGTCGGGGCGAACACCAGTTCTGGTGACAAAGACAAGAGCTGAGTGGCTGAGCACATGCTCACTGACAGGAGTGAAAATGGAAACCGGCATTTCAAGAAGATTCTTCCCAGGGGTGGAGCAGGGAAGACCTACATAGGAATCCCGAAGGAGTCGTCATTAATTTGCTAGCTCGGCGCATCACGCTGCAGTGGAACATAGTTGACAAGCTCTACTTGTGAGACTGTGGCCGGACCAGTAGCCCGAGGAGCAGGCCGGGCCCCACAGTCTGGCGCCCCGGCTGGGAAAGACAGAAGTGCATTTCCAGATGCCCCCTAAGTGGGCAGTACTGCCTTGGGCTTAAGAGACCTGGATCAGATGCTACATAAAGCACAGAGCAGTGGTCCTCAGCCCGGCTGCGTATTAGACTTACCTGGAAACTTTTTAAAATCCCAGTGCCGGGACACCTCCCAAACCAACGCAAGCAGAATCCCTGGGGCTGGGCCCCTAGTTGGTTCCATTGAGGAGCCAAGGCCGAGAAGCAGTGGCATGGAGGAATCTTGTCATTGTCCTGAAATAGCTCTGTCGACCTCCTGTGCCCTGGAATAGCAATTTCTAAGAGTTCGGTTAGCCTCGTTTGGCACTTAAAGCTCACTTTTTCTTTTTTTTAAAGATTTATTTCAGAGAGCGTGTGCAATGGGGAGGGGAAGAGAGAGAGAGAAGCAAGACGCCTGCCGAGCGTGAAGCCCAATGTGGGGCTGGATCCCATGACCCTGAGATCATGACCTGAGCCGAAATCAAGAGTCGGACGCTCAACGGACTGAGCCACCCAGGCGCCTCTTTTTTTTTTTTTTTAAAGCAAAACTTCTGGGCCAAGCATGGTGCGAACCAAGCACAGTAGAGGGGCTGCGTCATGTGCTCCAGCAGCCCCCTGAGGTGAGGAGCTGGGCTGGGCAAGGTCACAGAACACGCCCAAGGCCATCCGCTAACAAGGCTCAGAATCCAGGCCCGCTCCCCCGTGGGCTCCATCGCAGAAGGAACACGACGAGATGCGCTAACCAGAGGGTCTGGGCCACCCGTGCATCAGAAACAGGACGGGAGGCAGACGGACGCGAGGAGAGCTGGCTCGCGCGGGGGCGGGGCGGGCGAGGCTGCAGCCTCGGGCAGAATTGCTTCAGAAAACCTAGGTCCTGAGCTGTCGGGGTCACCAAGGGCGCCGTCCCCCACCTACAGAAGTCTAGGTGATGCCTGCCCGGTGACCCTCCAAGGCCGTATCAGCAGATGGCACCTGCCCCTGCACGTCTGCCGAACAGGAGTACCCCCGTGAGACCGTCTGGGAAAGCGTGGACCCATCCGGGGGTATCTCTGCCTAGGGTATCTCCACTGCGGGTTTGACCTGGCCCTCCCCACTGCCTCGCCCAGGCCCGAACTTTGCTCTTCTGGATCCCCCTGTGGGATGAGGAGCAGTGGGGCCCATCACTGCACTCTCATCCTGCTTCCCCACCTGGGGCCACTCCCCCAGCTCCTGCAGACATGGGGGCTGGGGCTGTGACAGCCGAGCCCCTCCTTCCCGTACTCTCAGGTTCACGGCATCCCACAGGACCCTCAAACCGCCTGGCAGGATCTGGGGGCTCCCGATCACCTGCCACAGGCAGCCAGACCCCCTCCTGCCCCAGGCCTGGGTGCTGGCCGCCCCTCTCCCCATGGCTCATTGGAAACTGAGAGCTCTTTCCCACCAGCCTCTCCCCAAATTTGCCTTCCACTGGCCTGGTACCCACTGGGCATCACCACTGATGGCTTCATCGCCCTGGACACTGCCTGCCTGGCCCGCCTGCGCAGGCATGAGCCCCCTGGGCACAGACTGGTCAGGGGCGACCGGCAAGCTGTGCTGTGGTCCACCCTGCCATCTGGGGCTCAGCCAGCAGAGGGCACCCTGCGCTTTAGCGCCAGACGTCCCCCCCACCTGCCCCCTAACTCCACGTCAGAGGGTGCTGGAGGGCGGAGTGCGGAGGAGAAGCATTCAGCCAGAAAGAGGAACTCGGCGGGGGGGGGGGGGGTTCCCCGCGCCCTCCGCCTACAGGTCGTCCGCAGGGTGAGGGTACACGGCCCAGCGGTGCGTGCGTGCACTCGGCAGGCCCGGCTATAAGCACAGAGTCCCAGGAGAAGCTCATTTTGCAAAACATGTTTTATCAGAATAAATAGAGTCCCAAGCAGGATACAGTCCACTGGGTGTGCCCCCCCACTCGCCCACCCTCCAGTTCCAGCCCTCATGGGCTGCAGAGTCCGGGCGGGCGTCAGTGCCCACGGGGCCGCGGAAACAGAGAACGACCCCAGCACAGGGCGCACCTGTGAGCAGACGCAGAGCTGCAAGGCCTGTCGCTGTCCTACCAGGCGTCCGGATCATCCGTGAGCCTCTCAGCCTCCTGGGTTCTACCAGCCCTGCCAGAAGGGGGAGTCAGCGAGGGGCCCCTGGGACCCCCGGGGACGTGGGGGGCTGAGGGGTAGTCCCTCCAGCCGGGCCGAAGCCAGACGCCCAGTAGCCCTGCTCAGGAGCTGCCTTCAGGCCTCCGGAGGGTGGAGAAACCTCTGGACGGCCTCAAAGGGGCTGGGCAGACCTCCGATGTGTCTGTAGGTGGGGCGGGGGGTGTCGGACGGCTCAGTCTGTGGGTCCCTGCTGCCCAGGGATGAGCCCCGGGGCCTCGGACTGCACACCAGGCCCGGTGCGTGTACCCCCTGGGGACCGCGGGGGCCAGCTCCCGGGCACCCCGACTTAGAAAGAAAAGTGCCGCAGCGCCCAGCTCGACCTGCCCCTGCGCGCACTTCTTTCTTCTCTAGTTTCCTTTTCTCGCCAGACTTCACCACGCCTGAGCAAGAGAGCTGGGAAGGAGGGCAGCCGGGGAGGCCGGCACCCCTTCCCTCCTCACCCCCCAGCTCCGCACGATGCCCGGCCCTGGCCCCTCCCCTCCACGCTCACACACCGAGTGCCCAACCCCTCCAAGGCCCCTCACCTGCTCCTCTCTTTCCTCTCATAGACGGAGTGAAGCTTGTTGATCAAAAAGACTTTGTCTTCCCCCTCCTAGAAAGGCCAGAACACAAAGGGTGAGGGGACAGTTGTCCATCCGTCTGTCTGTCCAGAACAGACTATTCCATGAGACAAGCACAAAAAGTTTAAAGGGGAAAGAGGCACCAAACGAGGACGGAAAAACCAAGAGCCAGGCAACGGGCATATATATAGATCGATCAGTCTAAGCTTCCTAGTGGCCAAGACGAAAAAGAAAATGTGATCAGGGGCACAGTGAAGGCCACAGAGCCAGCCTGACTTAATTTAAAACTGGCCCCGCCGCCTACTGACTCTGTGTTGGGCGAATTACGTCCTCTCCGACCTCAGAGTCAGCATCTGTAAGCGGGAGATAAGGGTGTCTGCCGCACGGAGCTTGTGTGAGCTTCCACTGTCGTTCTAATTACCACCAACTTGGCAGCTTAAGACAACACAAATTCATCTTTCAGTTCTGGAGGTCAGAAGTCCAAAATGGCTCTCACTGGGCCTAGGATCAAGGTGTCAGCCAAACTGGTTCCTTCTGGAGACTCTTGGGGAGCATCCTTCCTTCCTTTCTCCAGCTTCTGGAATCTGCCCACAGCCCTTGGCTCGAGGCTGCTTCCATCTGTGCCGGTGGGTGCAGAGGGCCGTGCCCTTGAGTAAGCCCCCCTGCCCAGGCCCGGGAAAAGCAGTTCCAGGGGCCTAGCCGAGCTCAGACCTGCAGCCCCAAAGCCTTGCAACCGGGGCAGGGCTCGGCCTTGGCGGGGGGGCGGACACGGTCTGCAGCAAGGGCCTGCCCGGAGGGCCTTTCCGCTCCCGGAGAACTAGCAGGTGGAGCTGGGATCCTCCTCCCGACGCTGCCGTGCATCTACCAGCCCCACCTCCACCCCCGGGACCCCGAAGGTACCCGCAGGGCTTGGTGCACTGCACAGTAGGGCGGGCGGGAGCCAGCTGGCAAAGACCCGCTTCCGCCAGCTGTGGCCAGGTGACCGCCTCAGCCAGAATGCCTGGCCTTACGCCGTGCTCCCTGTGGGCGCGCCAAGACGCCCGTGTGTATAAGGGAAGGAGACGGGGGCCTCCCATTGTGTTACTTGAACCCCCTAAGAAGTGGGCGCTGTCCCTAAGGGACCTTCCCGCTTGGGGCCCAGGCCCTGCATCAGTAAGCCAGCAGGAGGGGCCCACGCCTACCGCACCCCAGCCCTGGCCTGCCATGGCTGACACCCCGCGGCTGACCCCCGAGTCCTCCTAAGGCAGCGTCCCAGGTGGCCCCCAGCACACACCTGGAGGAGGCGCAACCCCCGGCCCCGTGTGAACGCCTGGCCACCGGCACAGTGGCCTCAGAGTGGCCCAAGCGTCCAGGGGACAGTGAGAATCTGCGGAAGGGGAACGGCCGCGGGGAGAGTGACGGCGAGGTCCGAGCCCACCCAGCGTCTATGCGGGGACCCGCCGTCGCTGGCAGGTCCGGCTGAGCAGACCCCGGCAGGACGCGCCCCCTGGCTGGGAAAATGCCAGCCCGAGTGATCCAGATTCCGTGGTCGCTGGCTTTTAACCGGACGCGAGGCCCAGCAGCCAAGCAGGGAGGGACGGTCCACGGGGCCGGGCTGGGCCGCCTCTGGGGTGGGCTTGAGCAGCTCGGGGCCGGCGGATCCCCAGGGGCCGACGGTGCAGTGGGGGTCCCAGGAGGGAGCCGCCCCCGGGCGTCTCAGCCCACCCTGCCTCTCATACTTATGACAAACCGAACGTGCTTAATACAAAGGACGAAAACCCGGGCTCGCGCTTAACTTACTCCACTTGTTTGGAAAACGAGGGCAATGAACAGGGTCCATGTCCTGACGCGGGTCCCCCAAGAAGTCCAAGGGCTATTTCCAGTACCTCCAAGACCCTCACAGAGACCGCAGCCCCGCGGGGCCGCCCGCCCGAAAATGCCACCTTGCTCTGCCGGAGCCGCGATCCACACCCCCCCGGGGCGGGAGCCCTGTCCCCGAGGGCGCTCCAGGGCGGCCGCTGCCTCACTCCCCGCTCCACTTCGTACAGCCCCCCGCAGGGCCGGGTGTCATTTGTGGGGCAAACAGAGCCTCTCGCGGCCGGGCCGGGGGCGGCAGGGCACTCACGTTGCTGATCTGCTCCTTGAGGAGGCAGATGACCCTCCGCTGGCCCTTCACCACCTGGATGTGGAGGTAGATCACTGCCCTGCAGGATGGGGAGCCACACGGTCGGGAGGGGCTCCGCGCTGGAGCCCAGGGGACCGACAGGCTGGGGCCCCCACCCGGGCCGGTCCTCCTGCGGGGCCCGCCTGCCCGCACTCACAGCAGCAGGGCCGACACCAGGTAGACGGGGAAGGTGTTCTCCACCAGGTACCGGTGGACCCAAGGTAGCCAGGAGACCCTGGGGCCCGCCTCCTCCAGATGGCGCACCCACACCTTGCCCGCCTCGTACATGCTGTTCAGGCTCCGGAACGGGCCGCAGGTGCTCGAGGGCTTCACCCTGGGGGAAGAGGGCGAAGGCGACCCCCACGTCACCCCACACTGCAGCCCCCAACCCAGGGGGCACGCCGCCCCAGAGACCGGGCGCCACTCACCGCCACACAGCGAAGCAGAGGAAGACAGCGGCTCCCAGGAAGGAGGGGAAGCAGAGCAAGGAGATGAAGACGGTGCTCATGTGCGAAGCCAGCCAGGGCCGGCGGGGCGCCTGGCAGTTGGCCCTCAGGCTGGTCTGGGGACAAAGGCTGAGATCCGCCACGGCCACAGCTTCGGGGGGGGGGGCCCTGGGCGACACCCCAGGCCGGGATGGGCTCCCCGCCCCCAGGGAGCGGACACTCAGAATGTGAGCCTGTGGGTTGCCACGCCGGTTTACGGAGGGGCAACCGAGGCGCATGAGGGGCGGCCTGTCCACTGTCCCTCGGATACGGAGACCTGATGGGCACTGCCACCTCTGATGGCCGTGCCCGGTGCTCCAGGAATGTCCTCTCCAGCGGGCGCCCGCGGACACCGTCCCGCCACTCAGACGAGGAAACGGGGCCAGAGGGAGAGGCTGGTTCTCCAGCGCCGAGCGCAACCCAACCCAAGGACAGAGGAGCGGGGGGCCCTTCCCTCGGCCCAGGAGGGGCCTGTGGCTCCGAGCAGCTCCCAGCCGCCGGCCCTGCTCTGGCCGGCACCTCCGGGCACCCAGCAATGACCACGGACCCCGACGCGACGCTGCCCAGCCAGGAAAGGCAGTGACGCTGGGGGGACGGCAGTCAGGGGAGGACGGGAGGGTCCCGTGGCCCAGCCTGGCTCAGGCTCCCGAGGCCCTGCCGCCCTCCCGGGCACCAGCGGGCACCCTTACCTTCTTGACATAGAAGATGAGCAGCAGCTTGACGATCTGGATGGCAGGGAGGAGAGGAGAGAAGAGGACCCCCAGCCTGGGGAGGCAGAGGCTGGGATCACGACCCCTGTGCTGCACCCCACAGTGACACCAGCCGGGCTCGGGGTCACGAGATGCCCCACCCCAAGGCCAGGCTGGGGGAGGGCACAGCAAGAGGGGCCGCACGCTGCGCGTCCTGAGAGGCGAGGGGTCAGGGCCCACGTCACTGCAGAACCCCCAAGCCGGGGCCTTGCTGCAGGCCTAAGGGGGAAAGGGGCTCAGCCTTCCGGGGGCAGGGGGGGTCGGCAACAGCAGGCGAGCAGAAGACGCTTACCAGGTCAGGGTCTGCCCATAAATCAGCTCCAGAACGTTCCCGGCAATGTCGAACTCCGGTTTCTCCCTCCTCTTAAGCTGCTTCTCAGAGATGAGCCTGGGGCAGAGGAGCCCCCGAGGGTCACTTGGGGGGGGCCAATCCCGGAGACCGATCCCCAGCAGGCCGGCCAGTGACCCTCCCCTCAGGCACTGGCGGATGTCAGGGGACAAGGCAGGTGAGGTCCTCCACCTGACGGGCTCGGGGCTACAGCTGACTTCCTCTCCGTCTTTTCTCTCTTTTTTTTTTTAAGTAATCTCTCCGGCCGACGTGGGGCTCGAACTCAGGACCCTGAGATCCAGAGTTACACGCACCCCCCACGGAGCCAGGCGCCCCGTCTCGGTCTTTTTTCTACGCCCGGGTGTAAACATGCACAACAGGCGCAGACGTTTTACGGACTGTTAAACGTCCCGTTTTTAAATCACTATTAATCTCCTGGGTCCCGGAAAAAAAACCACAAACGAGAAAATAAAAGCAGTAGCAACACCGGAGCCCAGCAACCTCCCGCAAATGTCCCTCCGTCCCTCCCTCCTTCCGTCTTCCCTGGACAACACTGAGATTAGACATCATTTGGGAAACTCCCTTCCATCTAAACGCGCGTTACATCCTGACTTGGGGTTTGCTCGCTCGGCCGATCTTCCACAGAAAAGGCGGGCGGGGGCGGGGCGACGGCCGCCACCTCTCGCGGGTGAGGATGCTCGGAGCCCTCCTGAGGGCAGGGGCGAGGCGGGCGGGCGGGGAGGGCAGCCCAGGTGCCCAGGGGGCGCGCGCAGGGCCCGGGGCCTCACCTCCACACCAGCTCCCCGAACAGCGTGTCCAGCAGCACGAAGATGAAGTCCAGCACCATGAGCCGATACAGCTCCTGGCCCACAAAGTTCTCCCAGCACTGAAACAGAGCGGGCCTCAGCCCCCGGGCCCCTGCTGCCCCCGCCACCCTGCCCACCCCAGCAGCCCACCCAGGGGCCCTCCCACCGCCCCAGGGCCACCCAGGGCCACCCTCACCTGGTCCTTCAGGGTGCCCACCCTGCGGCCCAGCCAGTGGTAGCAAAGAATGCCCAGGATGACCATCTTGAGGATGAGGTTCCTGTAGAGGACAGGGAGGCGGGGAGTGCTGAGAGGGGGGGACCGGGGTGGGGGGGCAGGGGCCCCGCCCCGGGCAGCCTCCACCTGCCCCGCCTGGCCACACACCTGCAGACGGCCACGTACACCTCCAGCACCGGCGAGTCGTGCCGCTCCAGGGCCGCCAGGCAGCGGAACAGGTAGGGGGCCCCCAGGTTGAGGAGGCAGACCACCACGGGCAGGGCCAGCAGCGCCCCCTCCTGCTCAACAGACACCGGGCTCTGCGGGAGGAGGGCCGGCGGCGGTCAAGGCAGGTGCCCCGGTTGTGGGGGGGCGGCCGGGAGGGGCCCCCGGCGTGGAAGGAGGGGGCCAAACTGCCTGGCAGCACCTCCCCCCTCCCCAAGACACGCCCACCCCGGGCCTCCGCTTCAAGCCACACAGGAAGGGGGTGGGGACACGGGTGTCAGAAAGAGAAACCCAAAAGGCAGGGGGAGCCAGAGACGGGCGCCGCCCGGGAGAGAGGAGGCCGAGGGCAGGGGGCAGGCACCGGGGGCCCGTCCGAATTCAGCAGGGGTCTGACCCTGTGGCCAGGGCTCCAGGGACGGTCCTCTCTCTGCCCGCACCTTGATCATGAGCTCGGAGAAGGCGTAGACGGCCACGGTGCAGCCCAGCGTGGTCCCCAGGGACAGCAGCCACACGAGCCCCCGCACGGCCACCCGCCTCAGCCGCCCGCACGCGCTCTGGGAGCCCCGCCGTCGCTGCCACTCGGCTAACAGCTCCTGTGGGCAACGAGCCCGTCACGAACCCCGCACAACCGCGCAGAGACACACACGGGACCCGCCGGGTGGACAGCTGGGGGAGCCTGGAGGGACCCAGGGGTCGCCTCCCTCCCACCCCCAGTGCTACCACCTGCCACTCCCCCTGTCCCCAGGCACAAAAGAGAACACGGGGCAGGGTCTCAAGGCTGCGCCCTGCCCTCCATCCCCGCCAGCCCCCAGTTGGTCACCCTGCTCCCACCTCGGGCTCACGCTGCACCCTGAGGCCTGCCTCCCTCCCTCCCCAGCCCTGCCTCCTGAGCCCCGCTCCCTGCCTTGGAGGTGGGCGGGCCCCCAGCTGCCCAGAAGCCCTAAGGCTCGAAGGACACCTGGCCGGCCATGGGAGCTCCCTGAGGCCAATGAGGGCCCATCAGCCAGGTCAAAGCTAAGAGCACCCCAGAAAAGCAGAGAACAGCGCACAAGGCCCGGCCTGGCCCCCGGCCTTGGGTAAGGGACTGAACCTCAGGTCGGTGTGCTCACGGGCAGCACGGGCAGCTAACAGTCCCTGCCCTGGGCTACCGTGGCAAGCCAGGGTGCGTGCCGGCGGGAGCCCTGGGGTCTCTGCCCACGGTGCCCCTGGCCGAGGGCCCCGAGAGCAGCTAAGCCCCTTGCATCGGAGCGTCGGCCCGCGGGTTCTCCAGCCTGCGGCTAAGGGCGAACTGACACACTGAGCCCCCCAGGATGGAGGACAGGCCAACAGCAAGGACCCACCCTGAGCACGCACGCACACCGAAACGTGCTGTGAGCAGAGGGTTCTATTAACGGGCTCCTGCGTGTTCGAGGGCCCTGGACACTAACCCTGCCAATGGGTGAGAGGCAGCCCCAAATGGGTGCCCCATACAGAAGAAAACTCCAGGACGATTCCCAGGGCTACCTCCTGTCCCTGGATTCGGGGCGACAGGCCAAGACCCCCCACCCCGTGCCCCACGCACAGCTCTGGCCACGTGGGCCTAAGTGGACATGGGCCGGGTCTGTGGGAGCCGAGATGAAGTCAGGGCCCCCGAGCGGCTCACCTTCAGATGGGTTCGGATGTTGTCATGCTGGAGGCGGGAGGCCCGTCTCTGGGTCACCTTGTGGTCCCAGGAGCAGAAAACGGTGACGGCATGAACCCCTGAGGTGCTGCCCACCCGGTAACTCTCCCCGAAAGAGTGGGACATGCTGGGAGAAGCAGAGCCAGGCAGAGAGGTGACGAGGGGCACAGAGGCCAGGGAGAAGGCAGTCAGGACGCTCCCCACAGCCAAAACCTGCCACTCACTCTGAGGAGCCCTCTGGGCGCTAGATGGGCCTCCCGCCGACCCCCCTGCCCCTCTTCCAGCCCTGCGCTCTGGGCCTCCTGCCGCAGGCTGCTGGCCACCCTACATCAACCCTGTCTGATTCGGTGTCCACTGAATGCGGCTAGCAGAGCGGCGGGGCTCCGTGACCCACTGACGTGGCTGGCCGCCTCCCACACAGACATCGCCGCAGAATATGCCAACTTACCTCAGGCCTTTTGCACGGCCTATCCCAAGAGCCGAAACACCTTCCTCTGCTTCTCCCCTGCCCACGCGTATTCAACCTCCCTGTCTGACATGAGCACCTCCTCTAGACAGAAGCCAGCCTGACTCCTCTAGTGCCCCAGCGCACCCCGGCAAGCACTGCTGGGGCTCTGGGTCTTCCCAGCCTCCTCACTGGTCTGTCTTCTCCCCTAGACAGCAAGTTCCTCGAGGACAGGCCCCATGCTTATTTACCCTCCTGCCCTGAGCTGAGCACAGCCAATGTCTGGAGTGGGGAGGGGGATGAATGGTTGAGTGGGTGGAAGGAAGGAAAGAAGGAAAGAAGGAAGGAAGGGGGCGCCTGGGTGGCTCAGTTGGTTAAGCGACTGCCTGCAGCTCAGGTCATGATCCTGGAGTCCCAGGATCGAGTCCCGCATCGGGCTCCCTCCTCAGCAGGGAGTCTGCTTCTCCCTCTCCCGCTTCCCCCCTCTTGTGCTCTCTCTCTCTCTCTC